GTTTTCGTTCAACGAACGAAAACTATATTGCGGGAAAATACACTAGGTGTTCCGAAGAGGTGGAATATGATGAAAAGCGTGCCGGTGTAAAGACGAATAATGACCCCCATCGAATAATGACCGGGGGTTATATTTCAACGACAAAAAATGACCCTTCACCCGTAGAAAAAAATAATTTTTTGTAGAAAAAGAGTCAAAGAGGTCATTATTTTATATGTTAGTCCTATAAAAATTTGACCCCCATTGAAAAATGACCCCCTTTAAAGTGATACAAAATTATTAACCGGTGAAAGGGAAAATATGCTGTATATTATAATTGTTCTTCCTTCGAGTAATTCATGCATTTGTTCGAATAGACTTGATTTTATTCTTCTTAGCACGTAGGGGTCATAAAGTTCCTCATTTCTCTCTGCCGAAATATTGACAAATCAGTTTTAAGCAATTAACAATCAAACAATTAATCTTTATTTCTCTGATAAAGGAGCAAACCTAGAAAATCAAAGATGGTACATGTAAATGGATCAAACGCACGCTGGAGATGAAATTTATGAATATAATTTTTTTTCTTTACTGACGCCATTGATACGTTGTTTCAGAAAAAAAATATTTGTTGGTAAAAAGTAGAAATTTGTAGCAGACGAAATAATATCGATGCGTACAAATAAGTAATTTGTTCGAATTAATAAGGTTTCATTCGGACGAGTGAGTAAAAATAGAAATGGATGACAGGACGCCTCGATGCTGTATATTTTTTAGATGTTCCATCCTATACATGCAGACTATCACTATATGATTAAAGATAGTTTAAATCTTTGCAAACACAGATTCTTTTTGTTCCACCCAAAAGAACATTACTTTAAATCAAAACAAAAAAAAATTATGAATGAAAAGCAAAAATATAAATAAAACTCTATACCTTTCAGTAATACTGAAAGAGGCCCTAGATAAAATATTAAAATGAAGTTAAGCCTTCACACAAGTACTATCATATCATAATTTACTACGCAATGATTAAAACATACTTTAAATGTTGATGGGGGTATACTTGAAAGCATTGTGGCAAAGTAACAGTTGAAAATTAGTAGAATAGTAGGTTATTTTAAGCTTATTTTTAGCCCCACTTAATAGAAAAATAAAGGTAGGGTAGTTTTTTTTTTTGTTGCTTTTGTTGATAATCGACTTCCTCCTAAATAAGTAAGGGGGTGGGGTGGGCATAACACCTAAAAATATGCTCTGTAAAGCTATGGGCTAGTGTAAAATACACATTCTAATGAACAAAACTTTACATCTAGACATAACCTTTTGATTTAGCACACAGTATCCATTACATTTCTAAATTCTTGTTTTACTCCACCCTTTTACTCAGTTCTGAGTATATTTTTCAGAGAATTTAATATGAAAATCAGAACAAACATTTTCATTTTTGTAACGTCTTCTTTATATTGTGTCATAATATGAAAAGTTAATTGAAGACCATTTCTTTTTATGTCCCCGTAATCGAAGAATCGGGGGTATATAGTTTTATCGTTTCCGTTTGTACGTCTGTCTGTCTATCTGGCGGTCTGTTTGTCCACAAAAACTTTAACCTTGACCATAACTTTTCATTTATTGGAGCTATGACTTTCATATTTAATTCGTGTATTTTTTGCAACAAGACCTTACTTTGGTTACCACCAAATTTGACCTTTTGACCTTTACCTTGGAGTTTGTCCCTTTTTATACAAAAATGCCATTTTTTTTACTTTGGCCATAACTTTTAAACGGTAGATACTAGTACTCTCATACTTCACATACGTATTTTTTTTTGGCATGACCTTTCATTGGATACTAAAAACTTTGACCTTTTGACCTTGACCTTGGAGATTTCCGTATTTATGAAAAAAACTTTAACCTTGGCCTTAATTTTGGTTTTCATACTTCACATATGTAATCCTTGTTACATTAAACCTTTCTTAAGAAACCATCAACTTTGACCCTTTGACCTTTGAGTTTGACCTACCTTTCAAAAACTTATCCTTAACCATTACTTTTGAACCAGTGGTGCTAAGGCTTTCCTATTTTTCAAGTGTATTTCTTTTGAGAAGACCCTACTTTGGGCACCAAATATATTTAAATTGCAATAAAGAAAAGTTTAATCTTCGCTATATTGCCATACAGGAGCATAGCTGTTTCACAAACACATCTTTTTATATGTAAGAAGAGTTGCGGATAAGAGATGGATACCCCAAAGCGTAACAGACGGACGGACGGACATCCCGATCACTATATACCCTCTCGCTTTTCAAGCGGAGGATATAGTAATATATAACACTGCTGATTTTTCTCTGTCAGTACGATGATTTCCACCATCGGAAAACAATGTTTACCTAACCCTTTAGGCTCGATAAATCTAATTTACTCCTTTAGAATCTGAATCATCGCACTGACCTTAAAATATTGTAGTAATTATATAATGTTATGAGATCAACATATCATCAATTTATTCCCATTTAGCTCAGGTGAGTATTTTGGGCAATATGCTTCTTTATCTAACTTTTTTTGCCTCTAAAAATTTCAGCTTTAATCCACAGGGAGTCATTTTTCTACGGGGGTCATTTTTCTTCACGTGGGTTCCACAAATTTTTAGGGTGGTGACACTTTTTTTCTACGGACAAAAGGGTCATTTTTCGACGTCGAATAATGACCGGGGGTCATTTTTGTTGGACTTGAAGGTGAAAACGTTGCCCGAGGCCGCAGGCCAAGGGCAACATTTTCACCTTCAGGTCCAACAAATCGTATGTTGCCCGAATCCAAGTCTGTAACTGTTTTGTTATACCCTTCACTGCTCACTTTAAATTGATCAATTTAATCAATTGATACACGCTATACTATCAATTATTTTACATGGAAAATTATGGCTTCTTCAGCACAGTAAATATAAAACATCAAGCTGAGAAAGAACAAAATCAATTATATTTCTATTATATCACAAAAATTATTTATCACAAAACATACTTTCCCTTCTTCCTAACCTTGCTGTTAGCAACAACTCTTAATGTAGCTCTTAACTTCGGCTATTTTCGCGTCGCCGATATTGAACAATGATTATTGATTGTGACGTAACAGACGAATGACGTTGCGGTCTAACAATTCTTATGTAAGACCGGTCAATAGTGAAATTGTTAGACCGATGTAAAAACATTTCTTTAGTTGGACTTTTTATTAGTAATACATATATAGAAGGATATTTATAAGGGTATAACAATAAGTTTTACGGCCCGATCACGTGACTACTTAGAACCAATTAGATAACACGTTGTTTAGATTGTTTTTAATGAGGTATAATAATACCTGTTATGCATTTCGGAATTGTAAAAAGTACGACAAGAAAAACGGGGTGATACTTACATTGTGCTCCTTTATAATTTTTCATGCGAGATGAATTACAATGAATTTGCCTTCCATTGAAAGATAAAAGTCATATAATTTAAATACCTGTTGATTTCAAATGTAATTTGACATTTTTGGTACTTTTTAGCGCATATTTGGAGTAGAACAATAATAGAAAATAATCTAATTTTTAGCATTTCACACTGTTTTTGCACGTGCTCTTGTGTAAAAATAAGCATATAAAGGTATTGTTTTTAATACCTAAAAATTAAGAGCAAGTGGTAAGGAAATGTCAAAGTTTTGAAAAATTCACACAAAGACTTTTTGGACATAGGTCCCCCCTTAACTGCAATGTGAATTATGTGGATGGGATCTATTACCACAGATAGGGATATGGCAGTACTCCCATTTCTTGTAGCGGTTAGTAGTGAAGCACCAGGGGCCAACTTTCTCCTTAGCCCGCGGGTTCCTGCAGAAATTCTCGTGCATGCTGGCGTTACCAAGCAAAACGTTGGTGTAACTATGGGACCATGGCCATTGTCGGTCCCATCTCTGACATGTCTTTCCAGAAATAGTAGTAGATTTGTTTCCTCTGTATTCCATCCCCTCTCTGGTTATTTTACAGTCTAGCACTTGAAATGTTGATACAAAATCTCTTAAATTTAAAGTTTTTTTTTCTTATTATAAACATATGAATATTAAGATATATTAAATAAAAGATAATTTGGTTATATTTCTATGGGGTATAGAAAAATTAAAGATTAAAGTTCATTCTATTATATAAGGGAAAATGTCAAAGCTCCAATATTTTTGCAGGAAATGCGAATTGAATTATCAGCAATACATTTTCTAGAAGCAAAATGATCAACAAAATTAGTTTAGGTGAAGAAACGATAGGTATCGAGACATTCACAGAAACTGTCTTGATTTTTATACTTATTTGGTATTTTTGTCTTTAATTTCCGCCATGTATTCTATAATACATAGTGTAAAAGGAATTTGCTATCATTGCAAGACACCAAAAATCACTTTTCATTTCATATCATGCTAAAAAGCATTGGTATCTAATGCTGGAATTAAGAAAATCTTATTTCTCTTAAACTGTTTTAATTTTTTCTCCTTTTATAAAACCTTTTCCAAGACTTCCAAAGACCTTGAATCTTATAAAGGTGGATAAAATGATGTTGTTGCATAAAAAAATTCATTTCTATGCCTCATTTTTATGCATTTCAAATATGTCAAATTATATATTAATTCTTGGAGTTATCCTTCCTGGCTGAGGATCGGATATCCTTAACAGGGGCAATTGAAATTGATGTAGTAATAATGTATAAGAACATCGTTGTGCACAAACAAGATAAAAAAGACGCATGGGAGCTGCTTAGAACATTATATTACAAAAATAAATGGTCAAACAAATTGTGTCTTTGAGTGTTCAGTGATTGTGTTGTGTCTACCCATCAAGATCCTTAAATAATTGTTTTCTCTTAACTTGCCCGATTAAAGTATATACTAGTATCTTGATCCTCTAAATTACATCACAGATAATATTTAACTTATTTGTTGAATACAAAATACATTTTGTTTTGATTGCAAAACTTATTTCAGTAATTTTCTTTCAATATATAAATTCAACATTTGAGTAATTCATTACCACAAAATGGAATATGACAAAGCTCCCATTCTGTATCGGGGTCAATTGTAAAGCACCATGGAGTAGCTTTTGTCCCAGGTTTTGGATTTCTGCAATAATTTTCGTGTTCACTGGCGTTTCCCGGAAGTCGCACGGCGTAACTATGTGGATGGGGAGTTAGGCTGTCCCATCTCTGACATGATTTACCGGAAACAGTCACTGAAATGTTCCCTCTGTATTCCAGACCTTCCACGGATATTTTGCAGTCCCTCGCTGAAACAATATACAAGTAAAAAGAAGGATATGGAGATAACGAACAGTATTCAATCTCAAAGTCAATAAAACAATACAAAATAAGAGCAGAGCAAAAACAAACCCCTGAAACAAATAAATAATTGTAAAGAAAAACATACCAGCTTAGTTTTAAACAAATGCTCATTAACCTTTATATGCAGATTTTTACTGATGTATTCAGAATTGGAATGTACTTATTGTATTGTGGAAATGAATGTTCTTTTTAAAAATCAGAAAAAATGACATAGCTTTAAAATGAATTCTGATGACTTGGGACCCAGAGATTTGATATAACGATAGTAACTATACTTGTGTCTGCACTCTTGCATTGTCATTCTAGGCCATTCTACCAAGTATATGTTATCCATCAGGTCAACATTAATATTTGTGCAAACAATATAGCAATTCTGGTAAATTTCTTTGATTTCGTATTGAATTCAGATAAGTGGAATCAAAATATTATCCATAAATCGTGGTATTATCTAATAAAATACAAGTATCTATCTGAAATGATGATGTTAACTTTTATGTTATTTTAACATGGGTGAAGTCCATAACTTTACATACATAAGAAAAAGGTATGTGCGTATCTTGAGTCCTGGAATACAAGGGAATAATTTACACCGGAATAGTTAGCAACCAAGGGATAAATTTCCATAAAATGTTACATTATATAATCTTAAACAGACACACAAATGATTCATTAGTCAATGGCAAATATCAATCAAGGCAAACTTGAACAGTTCGTGTTTGGGACTGTTGTAGATAACAGAGATATTAATGTTAATACCCATCATTCACCATTCTATATTATTTTCTATTAACGATTCTGTATTCTTTTTTGGTATTTTTCTGAAAGTGTACAGTTTAAATACCTTAATGGACGATTTTGCTAGTTAAGATTCAACGCTTACTCCTATACAAAATGTCTTCAGGCGTCAGACTGTACTAGATTTAATCAAGGCTTGTTTTACCAGTCGTGTAATAGCAGACCTGTGATGCCTTATCCACTGTCCATTGAGAATTGATGTATAAACACCCAATTTAAAGCAGGACATTAAAAATTAATGTTTGTTTTATTGTTATCATATTACATCTGGACATTCTCTGATTAATAATTCGTATTTAGCGTCACGAAATTAAGCAAATCCGTTCAAGAGATATCTAACATCTACATCAAATAAATATTATGGATATTTATTTTTAATACATACTAAGTCTTTACCCAAATATTCATATTCATAACATCGTATTAAATTCACTGCAAGAGAGATAAAAAGTGGCACTCTTTTGTCAAAAACAAAGATGGATATGGAGATACTGAACAGTGTATTCAATCTCAAATCCATAAAACAATACAAATTAGGAACAGAGCAACCACTAACCTCCAAACCATCAGAGGTGGCATCAGGTGCCATGGAGGAGTGAGCATCCCCTGCTGACCGGTCACCAATTTGTAACTTGTAATTTCTGTTTGTTTTTATGTTTGAGAATGAGGCAACTTTTTCCTATTTTTGAAAAGATCTGATAGTTATTTCACAACTTAATTTTCTAACTGATTAACTGTTTACTGATTCATAGACTTAGCAGTCATGATTTTTATTTACATGAGGTAAGATCAAACTACTGCTTGAAGTTAAAGGTACATTTATTAAATTTGGAAATATCCATGACACCGAGGACTGGAAATGAGGGCATTGCATGGGTACAAATTATTCAGCCGGTTGTCATGGGGTGTTTCTCCATGCCAAACCAGATTATACAGAATAATTTGCCTTAATTTTTGAAAATCAACCAATGAGATGCTATAATACAAACAAATTTAAATTATTTGTTTGTTTTCTCCATATTTTATCATTTAATTAGCTGTGTTCGATAAATAACATCACAGAAACAAAATACTTCAAGTGTCTTATAAACAACCATCAAGAAACTATTAATGATTCGGAAGGAATAAAAAATACTTACTTTGAGAAAACGTGGGGATGTTGTAATTTTCTTGTAAGCCGAACTTGCAAAGAGGCTAGTTTTAAATAATGTTTTCATATCCTTAAAAATATTTAATCAGGGTACGCTTAACAGGAGCAATTGAAATTGATCTAGTAATAATTTATAAGTATATCATTGTTCACAAACAAAATAAAAACGCATGGGAGCTGCTTAAAACATTATATAACAAAAATAAATGGTAAAACAAGTCGTGTCTCTGAGTGTTCAGTGATTGCTATGTGTCTACACATCAAGTTCCTTATATCATTGCTTCCTCTTCATTTTCCTGATTATAGTATATCTGGATCCTCTATATTACATCACAAATAATATTTAAGTAATTTGTTGAACACAAAATATATTTTCTTTTTTGAGTAAAACACTTATCTTAAAAATTATCTTTCAATATATAAATTCATTACGTCAGTATTTATTACCACAGAATGGAATATGACAAAGCTCCCATCTTGTATCGGGGTCAATTGTATAGCACCATGGAGTAGCTTTTGTCCAAGGTTTTGGATTTCTGCAGTAATTTTCGTGTTCACTGGCGTTCCCCGGAAGTCGATCAGCGTATCTATGTGCATGGGGAGTCTGGCTGTCCCATCTCTGACATGATTTACCGGAAACAGTCACTGAAATGTTCCCTCTGTATTCCAGACCTTCCACGGATATTTTGCAGTCCTTTGCTGAAACAATATACAAGTACAAACAAATAAATAATTGTAAACAAAAACAAAAAGCTTAGTAAAAAAAAAATGCTCATAAACCTTTTTTTTTTACTGATGTAATCAGAGTTGGAATGTACTTATTGAATTGTGAAAATGAATGTTCCTTTTAAAAATCAGCGAAAAATGATATAAATTAGGATGAACTATCATGATTTTGGACCCAGATTTTAAAGATAAAAAACCTTGTTTTTCTGGTCTCAACTGTAAGCTATTTAATTTCTGAGATTTGATATAACCATAATAACTAAACATGTGCCTTCACACTTGCATGGTCATCCTTGGTTATTCCACCAAGCATATGTAATCTATCAGGGCAACATTAATATATGTGCAAACAATACATTAGTTTTGATAATACTGTAGATTCCTTATTTTTCGCAAGTACTTTTTATCACGAATTGGCTCTTAAACATCAAATCGCGAGATTTATAATTTACGAATGAACGGCTGATTAATAGATTTTACATAGATTTCAGCACTATAAAAATGAAAGCGAGTAATATTTTTTCGCGAGTGCTGCTTCTCGCGAAATTACGCGGAAATTAATTCCTCGCGTTTAATTAGGAATCTACAGTATGTTTCTTTGATTTCGTATTGAATTAAGAGAGGTGGAATCAAAATATTATCAATAAATCAAGATATTATGTAATAAAATACGGGTATCCTTATGGAATAATGATGATAAGCTTTTATGTTATAAAACATTGGTGAAGTCCATAACTTTACATATCAATAAAAAAAATACGATCGTATTTTGAATCCTGGGATACCAGGAAATAATTTACATCGGAATAGATAGCAACCAAGGGATAATTTTCCAAAAACGTTACATTATAATCTTAAACAGACAAACAAATGATTCATTAGTCAATGGCAAATATCAATCAAGGCATACTTAAAGGGTTTGTGTTTGGGATTGTTTTAGATAACAGAGATTCTAATGTTAATACCCATCACTCACCATTCTATCCCATTTTCTATTAATGATTCTACATTTATTTTTTGGGGGTATTTTTCTGAAAGTGTATTTAAATACACTTTAAAAAGGATGATTTTGCCAGTTAAAATTCAAAGCTTATTCCTGTACGAAATGTCTTCAGGCGTCAGACTGTACTAGATTTAAACAAGACTTCTTCAACACGTCGTGGAATAGCAGCCTTGTGATACCATTTCCACTGTCCATTGAGAATTGATGGATAAACACCCAATTAAAAGCAGGATATTAAAATTTTATCACATTACATCTGGACATTCTCTTATTAATAATTCATATTTAGCGTCACAGCAGAAATTAAGCAACTTTTCTATCGTCAACTTCCCTTACTTATGCAGTAATAAACCTTCATCACCTGCATCCGGAGTGTATATATCTCAGTTGATTCGATATACAAGAGCATTCTCTATGTATAAACAATTTCTAAAACAATGTAAACTATTAACAAGCAAGTTGATGAAACAAGAATATCAACAGTTTCCTTTAAAGTCATCATTTCATAAGTTCTATGGTCGATACAATGACCTTTTCAGCAAATACAGTTTATCATCGAGACAAATACTGACTTACGTTTTCATACTAATTATTAATTCATTATTTATGGGCTGAATTGACGACGGATTTTTCCGTTATTCCCTGTTCATGACAAGGAGCACACGGCGGGTGTGACCGGTCAGCAGGGAATGCTCACTCCTCCATGGCACCTGATCCCACCTCTGATGTTTGGAGGTTTACTCTGCTCCTAATTATGTTCCCCAAACGAAGTTGGGGAACATATTGTTTTTACTCTGTTTCTTATTATGTTCCCCAAACGGAGTTTGGGAACATATTGTTTTTACTCTGTTTCTTATTATTATTATGTCGCCCCGAACGAAGTCGGGGACGACATATTGATATTGTACGCATGTTTTTTTTTATCCAGGCTGTTTCTCGGAGATGGCTGGGACAATCTTCCTGAAACTTTCCTCAAAGGATGATCACTGGTTGTAGTTGTGCAGTGAGGTCGTTCAGTTCCAGTATGTCTACCGTTGCCATGGAAACCTGTAAAAAGCGCCGAATTTTGTCCGCGAGTGTTCTCTCTGGTCCCTTAAACGTTCGTCATGAAACTTTTTTTATTTTGATGATTAGTATCTGTAGTTGTGCGATTTGCATTTAAAATTTTCAAATAATCGATTATTGCCATGGAAACCAGAGGAATGTTAAAATTCTTTAATTTCGATTTTCTCAATAACTACTCAAGCAATCGTTTTGAAACTTTCAATGTTAATTCCTTGCAATGTGTCAAAGAGATTTCTACTTTTAAAATAATTGTAATGAGTCGCTCACAGTTGTCATAGAAACGAAACAGAAAAAAAGGTTAAAATGGACACATGTGTTCTCCAAGGTCTAGGTCAAAGGGTCAAAGTTCTTCGTGTCCAATAAAAGTTCTTTTCACAAGGATTACATATTTGAAATACGAAAGCCCTAGCCCTTACCGTTCAAGACGAACCCCCCCCCCCTTTTGAAGCGCACTGCCAGGTAGAATACACAGATATAACATATACAACCTACAAGTAACGTTTTAAAAGTTTAATTCATAAAATAAAGTTCTCTTGCTGTGATTTGATAGTTTGCCAACATTAATTCTCCTTCTGTCTTGTCTCTAGATTTAATAATTATTTTATTTTATCTATATAAAAAAATAACGATTGTCAGCTGTATTTATTAGCATTTCGCGTTTTTTTGTATATCTATTACTTGTATATTATTCATTTCATTAGATAGTGCAAGTTTAAGTAAGAAAATAGGTACGTTATTTCCATAGTTTTTATTCATTCATAAATCCTAGGATCCGCTCCTACAGGTGCGCGAAGCCTTGATCACTATTGTAAACAAAACATTCATCTCGCCGAAAATGTTCATGATTCCGCTAAACTGAGAAAGTTTACACATGATTTATCATCTCATAAGAAACAGCAGCCCTGTGCAATGCAGAAATGCTCGAATTGAAGGTGGTATGTCAGGTTCGTTTTCCGGCAGAACCTCTAAAAATGAAAGTAAAAGTAGGTAAATTTCAGAGTTCTCACTAGCGTTATAATACACAAAATAATTCGGCTGATCTTCTTAATAAATTACGTTTGCCAAGCCTTTTTGGTAGGAAAGATCCTGCCAATTAACAAGTATGAGGCTCAGTTCAGTACATCTGCCCAATTTCTTTTATGCAAGTCTGCAAATTTAGGAACTTGTAATTTTTTCCTGCACTACTTTCTTCTCCTACCGATTCTAAAAATAATTTGTGGTATGTACCCAATTAAGGTCTTCCGTTTCCAACGAAAAGGACTGATACGACTCGATGGTTGTCCAAGATTAGCTAATGGACCATTGTTTTAGTGATAATAAAAATGAAAGCCTTGTCCAGTACGGGGCGACATATGCTATTGCTTGCAATAGCAGACTTTCTAGTTTTTTTTTCTTATTTGTTCTCCGGTACTTTTTTGTCCGCGAGTGTTCTCAGAAACTGTTCACCCAACTGAGCTAAAACCTTTTTAGGGTTAATAGGTGTGTAGTGTAGGTGTGCGGAACGAAGGTTATTTTGCGCGCATACGCCGGCACGTGCGTGCGCGTGAAATGAGTGAATTGACTGATATACTTAATATAGCTATAACTTTTACATTTTTTGATGAAATGCTTTGAAACTCATTACATAAGGATATATTAATAGTGGTAATAATATGACACTGTCAAATTAGCAAGAACTCACGCGCATGCACGTGCGCTGCAATCTGATTGGCTGGAACAAAAATCTCAATATCTCTTCTGTTTTTCGACGAAATGCTTTGAAATTTTAAACATTGTCATGAATTAGGATATCCTACAACATAATATAGAAAAAAATTCATGAAATCACGCGCATGCACGTGCGCTGTAATCTGATTAGCTGAAACTTTAAATGGCTATATCTCTTTTGTTTTTTGACGAAATGCTTTGAAATTTAAAACAAAGTCATGCATTAGAATATCCTACAATATGATATAGAGAAATTTTCATAAAATCACGCGATTGCACGTGCGCTGCAATCTGATTGGCTGAAACTTTAAATGACTATATCTCCTTTGTTTTTTGAAGAAATGGTTTGAAATTTAAAGCATAGTCATGCATTAGGATATCCTACAATATGGCAGAAAAATTCATGAAATCACGCGATTGCACGTGTGCTGCAATCTGATTGGCTGAAACTTTAAATGGCTATATCTCCTTTGTTTTTTGACGAAATTGTTTGAAATTTAAAACATAGTTATGCATTAGGATATCCTACAATATGGCTTTGAAAAATTTTCATGAAATCACGCGATTGCACGTGTGCTGCAATCTGATTGGCTGAAACTTTAAATGGCTATAACTCTCTTGGTTTTCATCCAAACAAGATGGGATTTAGAACATAGATAGATATTAGGGACTCCAACAAGAAGGTATGATCATCTTGCAAATGCACACAGTTTGTCTTTTTTAATGAAGCTTACAGGGAATATGGCACCAAAAGGGAGTTGGGGAGCGTTTGGGGAACATCTGTAACGGTCTCCGTTACAATTAGCACTAGTTTGTATTGTTTTATGGATATTGATATTGAATACTGTTCGTTATCTCCATATCCTTCTTTAAGATATATCTCATATCTAATCAGACTAAGTTTTCACCCAAATCTTTATAACATCGTATTCAATTCACTGCAAGAGAAATTTAAAAGTGTCACTCTTTTGTCAAAAACAAAGATATTAGCCAATTTGTAACTTGCATTTTCTGTTCTAACGTTTGAGAACGATGCAAATTTTCCCCATTGTTTAAAAGATCTTATATTTATGTCATAATTTTTTTTAAAGCAATGGATTATTCATTGATAGAAACAATATAAATCCAAGTCTTATTTTCTGCTTGATTAAATTCATAATGTAAATTTTTCTTTCCTTTTTTGCAAAGGAATCATTTCTTTACTCAAACGT